GAGCAGGTCCATCGATGCAGATCAACCAAATGAGTTAGGTTTAGATAAAGGCTGGAAGTAATGGAGGCCAGGAATGCCGGAAGATAAGGGTTAATGGTAGTCGGAAATAGCAAATGCTAGGAATGCCAGAAGTAAGTCTGTGGTAGTTGGAAGTAGGGAAGAGAAAGAGTGCTAGAAGTAAGTTGATGGGAAAACCCAACTAGCATCCAGTTGGCAGACAAATATAAATGGTAATGTAACTCAATACATAACATGTTCAAGCACCCTAGCCACATTGGCCAGTAGCTTGTGTTTCTTTTCCTCCTCATCCCTCTCTGCATGGGTTCAACAAGAAGTCACTGGGTTATATGGAAAGGGAGTGTAAATACTAACTGGTCCTGTAAAGTACTAAAAATCTCAAGAAAAATAAACTGAGATTTGCTACAAAATATAAAAAGTATAAAATTGTTCACAAAGTGTATACCGACTAGGTTCATAACACTGAAAGAACTAAAGTCATTAGGCTTATTATAAATCTAAATGAACTTAAATTGAAGGGTGTGTGGGAATGCAATGGAGAAAATGTCAAGGTAATGAAGACATAACGTCAGACCTTGCTCATGTGGACATGGTAGCAAAGGGCCACAATGATACTTATATAATAAGAATGATCTTGTTATAAACAGATATTTTTTTATTTTTACAATGATGTTTATCCTGATAAAGACCCAAGAGCTACACCATATAGAGTTTTACAGTGTAAGAGGCAAAGTTTATGGGGATATGTGGAGAAGATAGCAGTTAACCCGAGACTTGAACAGATTAAAATTCCAATGATCAGGGAACTGTCCTTTTGGGAGCCGCTTCCACAAAGCAGCAGTTTGTGAGAAGAAGCCTGCAAACGGGTATTGAATGAGGCAAAACAAGTTTTCATTTTGTTTGTTGTTGAGTAAAAAAAAAAAATGTATATATTGCCAAGTTTATTTTTGTTAGAGAAAATACATTGATAAAAATAAGCTTACAGTGCACTAGGCAAAAAATATGTCTGCATGTTAATGTAGAAGGGGAAGAAGATCATTGTCCGGAAAAGGACAGTTTTGTAGCTGTTGAAAAGTGTTGTCCTGAAAAGGACAGTTTATGGCATATCATTGCTGCTGGCAAGGATGGCTGGCTGGAGTGATGGCTGATGGCAAGGTGAAACTGTGGCTGATGATGATGGCTAGCTGGAACTGCTGCTGCTGATGATGATGATGGCTGTGCCTTGGGCTGGCTGTTTGCTGCTGTAACAGATACTAGACTTTGATCCTAATCATCTTGGCCATGGAATGTTTATTTTTAAATTTACATTTCATGTGGTACAAGGCCAAAAGGAGAAGTGGGGAAAGGCTGGTCTTTCACTATCCTACACCTAGCCGATTCATGACCCATTCATTCTTACAATTGACTCAATCACCACAAGAACACTTCCATTATCATTCAATCTAATATATACGGCATATTCACAGGGTTACTACACAAGCTTCATGTTATAAAAAATTGGATAATGTACAAATTGTTCATTTTTTTTTTTTTTTTTTTTCCTGACAAAAATTTTTAAAAATATGACATGAAATGAGGGCAGAGCAGATGAACCCAAAAACAAAAATAATTTTAGCCACAGAACGCTGTTTTTCAGTTGAGCTTTGAGGTCTTTTTATATTCAGAATCAGTTTTATAACAATCACTGGTCCTTGAAGGTTAAGCAGCTTCTTCCAATTGTTTTTTTTTTTTTTTTTTTTTTTTTTAAATGTGTAAGTACTGGCAGGATACAACTCAAATATTCAAGCATTACTATTATTATTAATTCTATCTCTCACATATTGTGTCAGTATTGATTGAAAAGAACAAAAACTTGCTTCATCGATACGATCATTTCAGTTAGAGAAGATAGACATGGTGGAAAGTAGAGTAAATAACATGAATCTATAGAAAATTCCAGAATTGCCCTAAAACTGGACAGTATCTTTCAGAAAAGAAAAACTTTTTCTTGGATATGCCAGATATTAGAAAGCATTTAAATATCATTTGAATTACATTCATATCTGTGATTTGCAAAAACATTTCTCGTAAACCTGAAACTTTGTAGGGATACTAAACCTAATGAGATGAGTTTAGAGGAATTTTGTAAATGTGGCTTAAGATTTTCTCTTCACAAAGACAATCACTGAAGGCAATCTCCAAGAGAGGAAAAAAAAAAAAAGCAATGCAGAAGTAGTCACAAATCTATCTCCTTAATACCTATCTATATCTATACCTATATCTATCTTTCTTGTAACTATAATGCAAAGACATAGAATCACACAAAGGAGATGCTGAAAATTTGTTTGCCTGACCCATTTTCTAAAATCTCATGAAATGACTATCGATTGAGTTGAACTTCTCAGCAATCTCACACACTCGTTTATAATGCCTGGCTACTCGTTTTCCAAGCGTCACCATCTGCTAGGGCAGCTAGCTAATCCCTGCTTCAGATGCCAACTCGGGCACATTTGTGTTTGTTCAACATCTACAAATAGCAGCTTAGAATTGGAAATCAGAGAGCCAAGTTCCAATTTCAGGTTTGTTATATTCACTTCCATTCAAACACTCTTAGGAAACATATGAATACATATCTTCTCTCCCCAGCTATAGGTTAATTAGCAGGATTTATATCAATACATAATTATTTTCTCGAAGAAGTTCTTTCAGTCTGAAAATGCTTTTTACCTTTAAATAACCTTCAAAAGACTAATAGGCCATTAACAAAAATTATAAATAAATCAATATCCACAGAGCCGGCCGATAATTGTTTGTTTGTTGTTGTGTTTTTTTTTTGTTTTTTTTTTAAGCTTTTCACCCCAAGCAAGACAGACGTGCCACTAACATGTAAGGGGTTACAGAGAGTGGGAGCAAGAGTAAAGAGGCATGAAAAAGGAAAGGATGAAAAGAAGAACAGGGAATGGATCAAGGCATCTGAAGATGTCGATTGACATTGTATTTGATTAGTAGAAGATGTAGCTATCAGGGAAGCAAGTAAAAGAAAGGGAGTTCCACAGACAAGAACTGTGTGAGACATGAAGCTATTAAAGTACAAGAGATGGCTACATTTAACATCTTTGACAGTGAAAGGGTGGAACTGAGACGCCAACCTAGTGGCACGTTTTAATTCATACAATTTGGGAAGTAGCGAAAATAGCTCATCAGAGCAGTTACTGTGAAAGTATTTGTAGAAAAGACAGAGGGAGGGGATGGCACGTCTGTGAGAGTGTAAGCAGGATGCCAGGTTAGGGCCAACCACTGTGACAATACTGAACAGACCTTAGTTATAGTTTCAAGTTGTTGTTGGAGATAATTTGTTTGAAGTCACCTACCCCTATTTCTTTCAGCACACGCTGGGGTGAAATAGTCACGTGTCTCTTGTGTTCAGCTTGAAGAATGCCGTTGATTTCTGAAAGTCAAAATCCTTGGGTTTTTATAAGAAATCTTTTCCAAAACAAGATTTCAGAAAAAATAGGGTTTGAGTTTTATCTGATTGGTCAAATATTTAACATGGTGGTATTAATTCCTAACTAATAGACACTTTGATTTAAACAGTGTTTGTGCTATCATGGAATCTTTTTGCCATGTTTGTAATATTGTCTTTTATTGGGGAGAAAATAAAGTTTGGGCATGTTTTAATATGGTAGGTATATGTAGTGTTGGAAATAGGTTTTATCTCCTATAGATTTAATCACTTCAAAAGATCTCAACTTCAACTGCATTCTGATACAAATCTGAGGAATCACATTCCTCTACAAATACACATAGCATTAATTCCAGTAAAAGAAAAAATGCAACTGTTTAACCAACTTTTGAGATGTCAACAAATACTCATTGTCACTTTTATAAAGGTTCGTTGTAGTAGAGACTTTGTAATCATAGATACAAATTTATTAATGTCGTTGAACAATACTGATGTCAGATGCCTTTGAATAACACTTGCACTAATAGTACTTGCTTGGTAATACTTGGTCAAATAGTAACCACTGAATAGTGATCCGTATGGTGACCACTTAGACGCCACACTAACTCCCATGTATACATCCTTTACCATCACATGATCTTCTTGGGATCACCTGCTCTCTGGTGATCTGTGTTCAAACTCCAGTGTTGGCAGCAATAGTTTATTCCTATATAATACCAACCAAGCTGAAGAAGAATTTATTAAGCTTCTCTCTATCCATCTTAATCTATGATAGACATTGTAAGGATATTATTAAAGGTACATCATGCACCTGGTTTCTCTGTGTAATATACCTGTGTGTGTAATAGTTATAGGAGAGTTGCATACTGGACATATGCATCCCTCTGATAATTTTTTGAAGCCTTTTAAAGGCAATTTCCAAAAGCATAGGTAGTAATCATAAATTTTTGAAAAAGGAATAAAAATAAAAAATAAAAAAATTTATTTTTGTTTAAAATGCAGTGACAGATTAACAATGTTTTAAAAAAAGATATATTAAGAATTTAAAATTGCAAAATCACTCTACACATCGCCAGTATGATTTTGTTTCATCAGCATTTTTCTTGTGATAGTGGTAGCTGTAATTTTTCTCATCCACGAATATTTCTTCATCAGTGTTTGATTTTCAGAACTTAGCCATGGGTTCCAAATAAAAATATAATCTATAAAATCCAGAATCTATTAGATGTTTGTGGTATGTACTGCTAGAGTGAACTGAAACTGCTAGCTTAATTTTCTCTTGCTTTAAAAAAGAAATTTTTCTCTATTTTTAATTTATGGTAACTACTTTTCTGCTTGTTTAGTGTAATTAAAGGTATTGTTGTGCAAATTTCTATATTAGACATCTCTTTTAAAAAAAAAATTTTTTTTTTTTTTTTTTTTCAAAAATTTACGTTAACTATCTTTTTGCTTGTTTAGAATAATTAAAAGTTGGTTTGCAGTTAGCAACACATAAGAAAAGAAAGTATGGTAACTTTAAAATATTATCAGGGTTACACAAATGTCCAGGGACACAATTATCTGGGACGCAAATATCCAGTATGCAACTGTCCGACCACTGTGTGTAATCTACATACATACATTCTTTCCTTTCAAATCATGAAATGAGAGTTATCCTGAATGGCCATTCATCTAGATCCTTTCATATTAACATAGGTGTCCCCCAGGTTCCATCCTTGGTCCTACTCTGTTTAATTTTAATTAATGAGCTTCCTGATGACATCAGCTCTCAACTTGGTATCTATGATGATGATGCAATTTACTCCTGCCTTGGCAATAAAGCTTATCAGTCTGACAAAATCAAAATGGCAGCAAGTCCATTGTTAATTAGAGCAAAAGATAGCTTGTTAATTTTAACGCCTCTAAAACTAAACTTTTCTCCATTAATCATCTGAGAGACCCCTTGCTACCCTCTATCAGCATGGCTGATGCTATCCTCCAGGAAAGTGACTTGTTGCACCTTTTTGGCCTCATGTTCTCTGCTGATCTGAAGTGGGAAGACTATATTGAATCCATTGCTAGGTCTACTGCTAAGAAAGTAGGTTCACATTATCAAGCAAGACAATTTTCTCTCCAGAATCTATCATACATATCTATAAGTCTACCATTCATCCATGTTTAGAATGTAGCTGCCACATATAGTCATGTGCCACTGCGACTTACCTTGAGCTCCTTGATAAGATCCAAGGAAGAATCTGCAATATTATTAGTCCTGATCTGGTGGATCAGCTTCAGTCACTTTCCCACCACCATAAGGTTGCCACTCTGTCTTTTCTATAAATACATTCATGGTAATTGTTTGAATTAGCTGTTTGCTCTGGTACTTAGAGTTTGGGAATTTAAGTGCAGTACTCGACTGGCGTCTAGATCTCAATTTACAGTTGAGCTAGCTAGATGTAGCTGTAAGTTCTATGCTAACAGTTTCTTCTCTCACACTTCTCGCTTATGGAACTCCCTTCTGGCTCCATGATTTTTAGCCAACTTTAATCTTCAAAAATTTAAATGCAATGTCAATCACTATCTACTGTCCACCTGATTACTTACTTCTCTTTTTGGTTATCATTAATTTTTCTGTTCTTAATTCTTCCACACCCTGTAACCCCTTGTGGTTTAGTGGCATTGCCTTGCTTGGGGTGATTCTGATGGGGGGTTATATATATATATATATATATATATAAATAAAAAGAAAGAACAGTAAGATATATAATCCGGTGTTCTTATAGATATTTTTATTTTTACAAAATAGTGCTTGATGTAAATTTACAGAGAATTAATATTATAAATTAATTGATTTAAAATGTTTTTTTTTAACTACAGTTCTAACTATGTTTCAAAAATGGAAAAAAAGCCCCAAATTTAATTTTGTAATTAAAGACATTAGTTCCATTTCATCCGAATTTGAGGATGAAATGAACTAATGTCTTTAATTTAATTACAAAATTAAATTTGGGGCTTTTTAGCTTCCATTTTTGAAACATGGTTAGAACTGTGTAGCGAAAAAAACATTTTAAATCATTTAATATATATATATATATATATATATATATATATATATATATATATATATATATATATATATATTAGTTTTAGTGAAGTATACTTACCAGTTACCCCACTTACCTCTTCTTTGGTGATTGGGTACCGCAAGCAACCACCTACAATCTGAAAAGGTTTTGGCTATTTAAAACCCACATAAAAAAAAAAAAATCAATCAATCAAATCCTTCGTTTTGTGAATTCAAAATTTAAAGTAAGCTTAAACTTGACTTTACTAATGTTTCTACCAGATGAATTCATTCCACTCAGTGAGAACAGGTGGTTGTTGAGTGTATGAGCACCCACCCAACCCCAAACTAAATATTAAAGGCTGTCAGTTGGGGAGAACCTTTGAAGGAATATACAGTAGGAACCCATTCAGTTGAGGAAAAAATTTTAAATGAACCATTACAGAATAATGGATTCCATATCAACTCAGAGAGAGGAACATCAGTCAATGTATTCCTTTCTTGCTTGGCACAGTGAAAAGACACATGGTGTCAAAAAGGTCAGAAAAATGATGAAAAATGTATTTACTACAAGAATCCATTATAAAGGAAATTATTGCTAAATGCAACACAACCATTAATAAATCAACCTTAATCTATCTGGAAAAAAATTATTTGCTAATGGTAACAGTAACTATTTCCTTATAAGAAAATATTTGGCCTTCATTGTTCAAGCAGCCAGTGTTACTTTTGATTGAAATTTATAAAATGTTTCTCTGAAAACAATTTTTCAGGAAAATAGCTTTCTGAAACCCACTAGCTGTTTTCACTTTTTCTATTATTGATGGTGTTCTTTCTTTCTGACTTTGTTGAATGTCAACATCTTGATTATGTCATTATTTTCTCTTTGAATTACATGTGCTATCCATTTTAGTTGTTGCTGCTGTTGAAAGTCTAAAAGGGATGTGGTTTCTATTATTTGGTGCATTTCTTTGGCTGTGATTCTGTAGCACCAGTCTACAAGGTTCAAAGAAAGTGTAGGTGAGTTATAACTATGAGTAATTAATTATAAACTTCTTAACATTTATATATACAAAAATGCCCATAAAAATGAGAAACAGTAAGATGCAGAAAAAAACAAAATGAGTATTATTTATTAACTGGTTGTTATGTGGTGTTGAAAAAATGAGATGTAAATACTGTGTAAATTTATGACTGGAATCAAATGTAGATAAAATATGTATGAGAATCCAACAGAAGGATAAGATAAAGTATAAGTAAAATGTATACAGACTTTCTTGTATGTTTCTTTTATAGATGCATGTAATGAGTGTCCAGATAATTTAGTTAGAAAATACAAGAAGTCCCCGAGGTTTCTTATCTCAAATTTTTGTTGACTGCTAAAAGATAAATATTACTATTATGGACTGGAAAAGGAGATGAAATTTTTATTGATGCACATGTTAATGACTTGTCCGTGTGAGCTGCTTGTCCGATAATGAGATTGTCACATGTTTGTGTGTTTAGATGAGAAAAGTGGGGTTAATTTTCATTGCTTTAGAATGGGTGAATTAATGATAATTATAGCTGCTTTAATTATTTTATTATAATTATTTTATTTTATTTTTTTTTTTTTTTACTATAATTTATTTTTATTTATTTACTTTTTTATCAATATAACAAAGTGACAGTATAATTAATCTTTTAACTATGTATTTCTTTATGGACACAACAAAGGTAGGTCCTCATTAAGACCTGCAGGTTTCCTTCACTGAAAGCCATTTTTAACCATTGATCTGTGAAAGCAGTTGTATACAAGTGTCAGTCTAGATCGAACTCAAAGAATGTTCTTTATTCTTAGTTACTGAAGCTGTTACTGCTCAAGGTTACAATGGCTTGTTTGAATGATGCTTAGGAATGGAAAATAATTTATTTTGGGTGGGAGTACAAAGAAATAGACCAATGATTTTGCTATAACACTCAGCAGGAATGATTAATAGCTTGCATCACATGAACCAAATAACAAACATTTACAGATATTCCATACCAGCCAAACATTAGACACTTGATGATAGCCAGTGAATACTTGGCTAAATAAAACATTGTCTTTAACAAGATTTATAATAATCAAGAACAATAGTTTTAAATAATTAAAGGATATTGACAATTATTCATCTCAAAATGATATGCAAAATTATCAAAAAGCAATATTCCATGATAACTGAATGTCAAATCATTGAATATAAAGGCTCCAAAAATACACCACTGATCCTGCTGGATGTTGGCATAGTGGACAATAGGAGTTGATGAAACATATTACTGTCATCTAGTGTTTGTGATTTCAATCCTAGAATCAGATAGTGAAACACAACTGTCATCACAGGGACAAAATAGCATAATCAACAGCTAACAATAGACAGCTGATGATGGCCAGAGGCCACTTGACTGAAACATTGTGTCTGTAATAACATCTATAATAATAACCTCATGTAGCCTCTATTTGTTATTGAACTCCTCCAAGGGTTTTGGAGATAAACATCCATAGCCATATATATTCTGAAACTACATTATCCAGGGTATTTGGATAAGTATATTTCATTTTTGATCAAAGGCAGGCACAACCCACACTGAAATTATTTTTTCACTTTAACTTGAATTAATTTGAATAAAGAAATGACAGCTATCCAGTATAGGAGAAAGCCAGAAGATGGAGCTCACATCAGGAAGATCATTAAATAATACTGAAATGCCTCATTTTACTCCATAAATTATAACAATGATTTAAAATCAGTCATCATTTTCTTGCAAAAAAAAAATGTGTGACACGCATCAAGGCACAGGTAATTCAGCTTGTAAGAATAATGAAGTAGCTCAATTAGCCTTCTCAAAATTAAACTGGAATGCACGTTCAGAGATGAGTTAGTCGGAAATTACTTGTTTCTTCCAATTGATTGGGCTTGCAGGAATATGGTGTTTAAACACCAGTTCTTGTACAGTCACTGAAGTTAAGTAAAGTTGAGCCTGTGCAGTACCTAATTGGATGACCTCTTTGGAATACCAGGTGCTGTAAGCTTGAGTTTGCAGTTGGTGTTATGGATAATGACCCAGAATTGTTAATCAGAGAGCCTATTTTCAATTCCAGTCATATTCACTTACACACAGTGAAAAGTATGAATCCACTTTCTCCCCCAGCTATGGATTAATTAGTAGAACTTGTCAGTAAATCATTATTATTTCTAAAAAATTCTTATGATCTAGAAATGTTTTCTAGCTTTGATTTTAAGCTGCTAAAGATGATAAACTGTAAAAAACAAATCAATCAATCAATCAATCAATTTTCTTGCAATAAGCAAACAAAAACAGAGTGGCTAAAAAAAAAACAAAAAAACATTTAAATCTCAAAACTAACTTAAACCCTATCATAGTTTTTGCTGTATTATATCACAATGTTATATCAACTATACCTTTTGAGACTTTTACAAGAGTTTATTAGGCTTGGTATGAGAAGGCATGTGCTTTTACTTCCAAGTACTCTCCTACCTTTCCTTATAAGTTCAGAGGGGAAGCATATCACCCCACAGATTAAAGTTCAACATTCCCAATATGAGAACTGCCTGAAAATGGTTGGCTACAAAAAAAAAAAAACAGAGATAATTAGTTTGAAGAAGTACATTGTAGCACCTTGTCTGGAAAAAAAATAATCCAGACAGAAAAGTTATGGTAGAGGTTGTAATAAAAGTAGACATTCAAATTAAAATGATTTAAAACAAAAATTTCATGCCTACCCAAAACTCGTCAATAAATGTTAAGACTTGTCTGTCTTAGTGTTCCAATAATTGTCAGACTGGAAGAAGATTAAATCACATCCATAGGTGAGGGGGGGGAATTCTTTTATAGCCAATGATGTAAAAGAAAAAACTTCTTTTATTCTTTCTAAGATGAGGTCCAAATAATAGATAGGAAACATCACTGGACAAATTAGAAAAGTGGAGACAGGGTGGAGTAATAGTTATATTCATTTATAATACCCTTGGGAAAGGTATGAATCCATCTCTTCTCCCCCAGCCTTGGGTAAAATAACAGGACAGACTTGGTCCTATAGCATTGGGTGGCAACCAGTCTACAAAAAGGGAATTTTGAATTCAAACTGGATTACACTATCCTAAATGGGTGTATACATGCAGCTGGGGACCACTTGTGAATCCAAATTCCCACTGAAACTCCTACAATGGGTTTGCATGCCTGAATGAATATGAACTTTGCTATGCTTGATCAGCTTCTGTTCAGATGCAGCAGGTTCATTTGATGGAACCTACTCAACCGAGTGAATGTCACATTAAAAAAAAAAATTAAAATAAATTAGAAAATTAAATCGATGTATAAGTCAGAGCAGTATGAGTTTCAGTGCTGTATAAGAGAAGTGATTCAACAGAGCAATAGATTAGGGTACATTTGGGGTTGGGGGGGAGTGTTATACCATACCTATGGACTATAATGGGTATGTCCCAATCCTTATAAATACAGTGGAATATACTGAATGTTGATTCACTGTGGAATTTACTTCCTGGTGTGCTTGTCAAACTCTCTCTCTCCGGGCAGAGAGGGACCCAGATGAGGCTATGCCGAAGGACAGAGTCTTATCTGGAGTGGTAGACAGCTACCTGACCCTGTTTTTATGGGGAATTTTTGATCGGGCCTACAGTCTCGGATAACCCACAATAAACACGGTCTTGTGCCGCATCCGACCGTGTAGGGCGGTAGGTGAATATCTTCACTGTGGGATTTAGCAGTTGATTACTTACTACATGGTGCTGGTGAATCTTGTATGTTGTTCCTGTTATAAATATTATCGTTCCATTTCCAACCTTTGTTTTGGTTATTCTTATTCAGTCACCTTTTCCTCGTTTACAAGGAGTAAATTTATTTCCTTTAGTTGTCCACTCCTCTGGTTCTGACTGGTGCTTGCCACCAGATGGATTGTGTCCTCTTGATGAATTGGTTGTTTAGGGAAATCGTAACTGATTAGGACAGGTGGCATAACTGACATATCTGAACAGCAGTGATCATGCTAATTTCCATGACTTTGATGCATGAGATAACTATGATTACTGAACATTATTCCAGTCTTGTTGACAATGTGCCTGTAGAAGGCCAGAAAACTTCATGATTGGGGTTTGATGAAGCTTTGTTGGTTAGATGAAACCTGCTACTATATGCAATTATAACAACATTTATAGATTTCTTTGTTCAGCAGGATGAGAACTCCATATAAATATGGAATCATCTGTGCCACATGGGTTATTTAGAATAATATCATCTGCGTAGCTCTCATTGCTGGGAATGAGTATAAAGTTCTTTTTCTGTAAAAAGAAAAAAACCAATGACCCTTGTCTTGCAGAATGGATTTGTTGAGATGCTGTATTAACAGCAGAATTTATTGCACAGACCAAATTATCCTTGAATTTTGAAACCTGCTCAGACTTTCCTAATTTGAATATTGTTACAAGATACACTTGGATTTTTTTTTTTTTTTCATTAAGTCTTGTGCTAAGTTCAGAAATATCAGTTGTGGTTTAGTCCTTCCACAATTTCATCCTGATGTACATATCTTATTCTTCTTTTATGTTTCTTTATCTTCAGGATGTGGGCGATTATGGCTACCCACAACTTCCTATCTTTTCTAGTTTTTAGCAATGTTTTTTCCTCTTACTATGCCTCGTTTTCCCTGTTCTGCTGTTTACACAAGCTTGTTATGTAGGTTACTTTCTGCTTCCCTTTGCCCTCCTTTCCTTCAATGTCCTGTAACTATCAAATTATCTAAACACTCATTCCTCATTTCAACTCTCTTTCTCGCTCTCTCTTTTCTCTCTCTCGTCGTTCTCGCGCTCTCTCTTTTCTCTCTCGTGCGTTCTCGCGCTCTCTCTTTTCTCTTTTGCGCGTTCTCGTGCTCTCTCTTTTCTCTCTCTCTCTCTCGCGTGCGTTCTCTCTCTCTCTCTCACTCTCGCGTGCGTTCTCGCTCTCTCACTCTCGCGTGCGTTCTCGCTCTCTCTCTCTCGCGTGCGTTCTCGCTCTCTCTCTCTCGCGTGCGTTCTCTCTCTCACTCTCTCGCGCGTTCTCTCTCACTCTCTCTTTTCTCTCTCTTTCTCTCTCTCTCTCTCTCTCTCTCTTGTTCTCGCTCCTCTCTCTCTCTCTCTCTCGTGTTCTCTCTCTCTCTCTTTTCTCTCTCACTCTCTCTTTTCTCTCTCTTTCTCTCTCTCTTTCTCTCTCACTCTCTTGAACACGTGCACTCTCTCTCTCTCTTTTCTCTCTCCCGCATTCTCGCTCTCTCTCTCTCTTTTCTCTTGCGCGCTCTTTTCTCTCTCGTGCTTTTCTCTCTCTCTTGCGCACTCTTTTCTCTCTTTCTCTCTTGCACACGTGCTTCCTCTCTTTCTCTCTTGCACACGTGCTTCCTCATATTTCTCTCTTGCACACGTGCTTCCTTTCTCACTCTCTTTTCTCTCATGCGCACTCTCTTTTCTCTCTTTCTCTCTTTCTCAGGTACAAGTGTCCTTTTCATTTCCATTTTCCTTAAAACTTTATTCGTGTTCTCCAATGTACTATTTTCAACATCCTTATGTAGAATTACATCTTCATTGTTTTGAGATTCTTCATCTGTGAGAAAATTGTCCAACATTCACTGCCATAGAGGACAGATTTTACATAGCAACTCAGCACACTTAGTTTCTAACTAAAATTTCCTATTTCTTAATACAGTGGGACCTCAGTTCACGAATTTAATTCATTCCTGAAGGCCGTTCGTAACCCGAAACTATTTTTCCAATAGGAATCAATGTAGAGAAAAAAGTCATAGTACAATAAAATTGGAAAAGAAAAGCACAACAAAACCCATGAATGTATACAACATAGTCGACTCAGAAATTATTCTGTTCATGTTAACTCGGTTCTTCTACAATGATTGAGAACCAAAATTTTGTTCGATAACCAGAGTATTTTCACCTTGAATTTTCTGTTCAAAAACCAATTTGTTCGACATCTGAGACGTTTGAAAAACCGAGGTCTCACTGTACTTTATTTAGCTTTTCGAAGGTTCTTTTGCTATTCCAATGTGCCTTCATATTTTTGGGTCACATTTTCTGTTATGTTGCTACTCAATTAAATTTCTGTACCTGGTTGATTTTGACATCCCCATTGCATAGCTTACAACTTGTGCTGTCTCTTTTGCTTACAACCATTTCCTTCTATCTTACAGTTTAATGATTAAGCCTTTCTTCTTGCTTTCCCCGAATACTTTGTCTAATAATTCTTTCCTCTCTGTCTGCCATCAACACAATGTTATCTGTGTCTTGTGTTCCTCAGATTATATCTGCCAATAATACTTTGTCTGGCTTTTGGACATAGCATTTTTATAATTTGAATGTTTGTGTGACATATTCAGTCAGGTGAATATATGATTTTATACACATGCATTGAAATCTGTATAAATTTGTGTGTGTGTGTTTTAAGACAGTGTTTGTTCATGTGGGAGTTCGGATGAAAAAAGGGTCTCTTGGGTCTTAGAAATGTTTGGCTTCTTTTAGTAAGAAATCTAACCCTTCCTAATTCAGAGGAATGGAACTTCTCCCTCCCACCGCCACCCTGCAAATCCTATGTCACCCACTTCTACCCATCTATATACATGCTTAGACAGCCATACACACACAAACTCTGATGCCTGACAATATCTTGACAGATCGTGGGAGGAGCAAATGGATGGGAGGGTTTGTGAAAAGACTTGGAAGAGAGAGAGAAAGAAAATATAATAAAAGGAGAGTAGTAGTAGGGTAGTAAAAGAAAGGGAATAAGATGTAGGAAAAAGAAAGAAATTAGTAGACCAGAGAGAGAGAGAGAGAGAGAGAGAGTAAAGATCTCAAAAGAAAGAGGAGCAGCTTCATTAGAGAGGGAGATAAAGAGAGAGAATTAAAATCTGTATGTAGACTGCATGCATAAATGAAAGGGTGGTAAAAAGTTTTCAGTCTGAGCAAGAAGCCCTTACAAAAAAAAAATGCTTGATCCGATTTAGGTAAGTGGGTTGAAACAAGAACTTTACAGCACCTCCTCATATATATATATATATAAAATCTTAAACTTGAATATCTATACAGGTTTGGAGGTTAAAGGTTACCAGAACATAAACTTGGCAAATGAGGTTCCTTCTGTTTGATTCTCATTAATATCATTCAGAAAGGCATGAATAAAAGGGTGGATGTGTGAACAATTCAGCAAGTGGATGTGTGTGTGTGTGTGTGTGTGTGTGTGTGATGGTAGATCAGTAAGTTTATAGGTTATCACAGTTGTTACATCAAGCTTGATCTGAAAATTTCATTGTATAATGCTCTATGCATGTGATTTATGCTTGGTTGGTGATTTTATGACATGTCAACATATCTTGGATAATTGTCAAATTTTATGTGGGGGCACCCAGTGGAGATCAGATTCTGTATTCTTTAGTAATAGTCAACTAGCTTCACTTGACTATGACCCCCACACAATTCAAGTGGAGAAGTGTTGAAGTGCATTGGTAAGGAAAATTATGTTGAAAAAAATAAATATACTTACAGTGTAGCTTTTATTTTTTTTGTTATTTAGACTATATATATATATTTTACCCACACATACAGGGTGCATTGGATAAATTATTGCCATTTTGTATTTTTAATTTTGCATGTACGCATTGTTTGTTTTTGATTTTGTCAACAAGTATAGTAAGTTCAGTTGGGAACCATCTGTGGGGGGAAAAAGACCACCATGACACAATTCACTCTGCCAGAAATTAGGAAATGGTATGCTGTACTGCCTATCATTTGTGCCAGAAGCTCCAATACAAATATTTTAGAGCATATCTGAGGATAGTGCAGAGAATTTGGAAAGAGTTAGATGAGTCTTACTGTGATTCCAAAGATACAGCAGCTTGGAAAACTCACTTTGATCGTTCTGATAAGAAAATAACACCCAAATTTGTTGGTGAGGGCGTCAGACTCGATATGGAGGTTTACATCAAGTGCTGCCCTAGGTCAAGAGGGTGGCTGCTGGAAGACACTATATCTGGCAACAGGACTCCGCACCATGCCACACAAGCAGGAGATCCCAGTCATGGCTGTCAGATAATTTCTGAGACAATATCACCCCCTTACATCTAGCCACCTAACTCTCCAGACTACAACCCACTTGATTATTATGTGTGGGGTGCAGTTGAGTGAGAGTTCAACAAAACTCATTGTAACACCAAAGTTGAACTGATGACAAGGATTATGACAGCATTCACCAACTTAAACAAGGAGACTGTCCAGAAGAGTTGCAGGAGATTCCAAAGTCATCTGGAAGTTGTGGGTTAAAGCCAATGGCAATTTTATTCAATAAATTTGTATTTCAAGGTGCTGTTGTGTAATTTGGGTAAATATATCTGTTAAAATGAAATGTCGGCATTTTCATTTTTGCATAATTTACAAGACAATTTATCCATTGTGTGTTACATACATACACACACCTTTCTATCCTGAGTGATGCAGGTTCAATTCTTGCCAGAGGATGCAAATTTTTCTTTAATAAGATTTCTCATACATTCAGACAGGAAGATGAAAAATAAATACTGTTAATAAAAAAAAATAAACTGCCTTCTCAAATAAGAGTATGTGCTAAAAATAACAAATAAAAATCTGTCAGATTAATAATAAAATTAATTCTCAAAAATATATATATATATATATATATATATATATATATATATATATATATATATATATATAATTGCGAATGTCAGTGTGTCACACTTTTCAACTCTACAGCTCCTAGAGGCCATAGCCCAAAATATACCATTTTGGAATCAGGCCAACTCTGATCAAATTAAAAACCATCTGGGCCAGATCCGTACCCATAATCCTGAAATTTTGGATTCCAAGTTTTCATTATTGCAATTGTTTGCTGCTATTTTTGTTTTCATTTATTTTTTATTTTTTTGCCATGAATTTTTTGTATGCTAACAATTTTTATAACTTGTAAATAAATTTGTGAGTAATTGAAATTAATTTCAAAGTTCAGCAGAAGCCAACCATGAAATAAAAATAATTGTATGTAAAGTAAGGACCTCTGTATATCAAGTTGTCTTTAAATTCAGTGGTAGCAGAAGATTTATCATTGAAATTTTAAAGTTTAAATATTAATGCAATACTTAAATGCAGCAATCTGTTTTGAGTTCTTCTGTAGTTTATTGTTGCCCATTGCATCTACTCCTCCCTACCTATTGTGATGAAGGCCTAATCAAGGACCCTTTGCATGAGCTTGCTTAAATGCCACCCAATAGGGTAGTTTTTAAGCTAGTGTGTGTATGTGTTACCTTTATGATGAGTGAACAAATTTATTTGTTTGTTATTACTGCTCTATCTGTTGATATCAAACACTAATTACAAAGACTGCTTGTCTTAAAGACATTATCTTCCAGAACTATACTCATTGACTGTTTTCTGGTGAAACACAATCTTTGTTATATTTACAGGGAAAAGAAGAGATTGAATTTGGTTTGAAATGCAGGCAAAAAAAAAAGGGAGGATACATGGCGAGAATAGGATTCAAGAATAGGAATTAAAAGAAAGAAATAGAAACCTTAGATCAAGAAATGGAAAAAAAATTCAGTCATTGAGATGTGATAAAGAAAAAAATATAAAAAGATCAGGCAGAGATATGGAGTGTGAGAAAAAAAAGGCGGTAAGATTTTGATTAAAGGAAAAAAAAATAAAGGTTACTTGAGAGAGATAGGACTGAAATGAGAAAGTTAGATATTAGTAAGACACAAGGACAAGGTTATGGAGCATCCAGAGTGAATCAAAATCCCTACCCAGTTGAAATAGTCAATTCCACTAGCTTTTTACCTCTCATAGCAATGCAGTCTTCATTCTTTTAGAGATATTTATTAAGCTTATTCTTGTCTGGCCTAAGGCCATAATCATGAAGATACTAGAAAGGATCAAATTAATTATATGGTTATGTTCTTATAGAAGAAGTTACTAAAAGCAAGCTTCTTCAGTAATAAATTTTCATGACATTTGCATTTAAAGCTAGAAAGAAAAAGGGTGATAAATAGAGAAAGTATAATCAGTTATGTGCCATGCGTGATACACACATAGGTGATCGTGTATCTTTAAATACATGACTGACAAGGCAGATTTTTTCCTGCAGTAGGTTGCCATTTTGTTCTGCAGTAGACCAGTTGCCATCCAAGCCTATAGAACCTAGTCTGTCCTGTTATTTACCCATAGCTGGAGGGAGAAGAGGATTCATACCTTTCCCAAGGGTATTAGCTCATTAGTGAATGTCGTGGATTTGACTGGAATTTGAACTTAGCTCTCTGATTCCTCCATTCATGCCACTATTCATTACTTCACTGTTCTTCCTTTACCCACACATCCCTATAAACATTGACTCTTATATTGTACCATGCTATCTTGAGTGGCTCACAGACCTGGTACAGGGTGAACTTTTTTTAAAAAAAATAAAAAAATAAAAAATAACTAAAACATTTCTACTGAAGAGTGTTCAAATTTCACTCTCTCTCTCTCTCTCACAACTGCTGCGTTGTGTCAGAAAAGAACCTTGTAAAAAGCAAACTAAACTAGCCTTGTACCAGACCAACGTCGGTCCCAATTTTAGCCTTGTACCAGACCAAAGTCGGTCCCAATTTTAGCCTTGTACCAGACCAAAGTCGGTCCCAATTTTAGCCTTGTACCAGACCAAAGTTGGTCCCAATTTTAGCCTTGTACAAGACCAAAGTCGGTCCCAATTTTAGCCTTGTACCAGACCAAATTCGGTCCCAATTTTAGCCTTGTACCAGACTTAATGACTCTATACAAAGAGCAAGTTATAAAGGAGACTCCTGAAGCTGTAATCGATACCTGACCAAGTCAAGAGAGCCATTCATAGTGTCTTTTTTTTTTTTTTTATTTTTAATGCAATGAGTACCAGATGGTTTTATTACTACATACCCAAGTACTTTAGGTGAGACAATGTCTTCTGCACATTTCTTTTTCTGGGATTGACTGGAATGTTCTTTGTGAAGCACCACTGATATTATATCTGACTTCCATCCCTTACCACCAACTCTGGGAAAAGAAGGGTCCAAAAAGAAGAAAGCAGTTGTATTTAATAAGTCTTCACAAAGTATTTGCTTGCTTAATATTCTGAATGGGAGAGAAAAGATTTTTGTAAGTCTTGTAATTTGAGATTTTACCTTTTGCAAAGATTTTTTCTTCAGTTTCAGCAGGGAAAAGTACAAGGAACCTGATAAGTTATAAAAGTTTAATAAACAATGCAGGGTTTTTTTATTTGGGAAATTTCTTTGTTGATTATATATAATTTGAGTGATATTCCTGAGGCTATTCAAGAATGGTTATATAAATATTTCATAACAATTTGAGTTGAGGTTATATTATTTTCTATTTTAAAAGTGATTATATTCCTCTACATTAGAGAAATTTAATTCATTCTTTTTTTTTTATTTTCAGTTTTTTATTTTTAAATTTATTTATTTCATTAGGATCAATGTAGTGTCTATCTCTGATACCTACGATGAGAGTGTAGTCCATATGCACTCAGTTAAAACTTATATATATAATATTTGTATATTCCTTTTCTTAAATATATGAGTGCTCCATTTTAAATATATTTTACCATTCGATTTGA